TTAATAATCCAATCCTTTAATACTACATTGTGAATCAACCATTGATTAATCTGATTGACATATTCTTTGTTTATCATTCAGTCCTGTTCAGTGCTGAAAAGTGGTCACATGTATTGTATTGCGCCTGTCCTTACTAACGCAAAGTGGGGGTTGGGCTATCATCCCATACTACATATCCCCTAAATAATGTTCCTTTGCTTAATGCAAGGCAATGTTTATATTTTAAGCTCATAGTGCAATATAAAAGCAATCTTTACCCTTCAGTACTCATAAGCACTTTGTTGATTATTAGTGATGGTTAAAATTTAATTGTGTAAAAATTAATTTAAGAACATTGATTATGAATGAATATAATATTTATTTTAGGTTTTTTGGGAAAAGTCTTGTATCAGAAATAGACCAAAAAGTATGGGTATGGAGGAGACAACTGATGAACCCTTGTTTTCAGAAAAGGTAGGTGCTACAAAACCTGACAATCACATCCAAATTATGTTTATGTTGTAATATAACAAAGGAGAAAGTATGATATGACTAATATTAGGCACCTTCAATAACAAAAAAATTAAGTATTGAATCTATCAAATAGCTTTATTCAAATGTTTACAAGACATTAGTCTCTCAGATATCAGTTTTCATATCTTTGAATTTTGTCTTACGTGTTAACTTTAGGCTTTCAAATTGCTTGCATTTAAGGAAAATACAAAATATGATTTAAATAGACAGTCAGGATTGAATGATGGCTTCTTATATGCCTACCAATGATGAATGTTAATTATGGTGTATCATTTTTCCAACTCCCGTCTTGTATAAAATTGTTGGGAAATAACTTTGGTCTTCAGGAAGAGAGGCTACTTATGTTAAACTTTTACAAAATGATCAAGAATACTTACTTAAGGTACCGTTTACCTTTTAATGATTTTTATTTGTTTTTTCCACATATTCAAGGGTTTTAGGACTTATATCTTTCTGATTATAATGAATTTGTGTTGCATATTAAAAAATTCCCAGCACAACCATTATTTTGTGGTAAAGGGACTCTTATTGCTCTGAGTTATACATGAAATAAGATTTAGTTTTCATTCCAACTTGCATAGAGGTAGATTTTTGACAGATGAGGACAGGAGTATTTTTATGTTTCATTGCCTAAGAGGTTTTATTTTGCATCCAATTGTCATCAAACATTATTAAGCTTGGCAGTTGGGATTACTTGCCAGAATCCTATATATATATGAAATCTGAGGTCAAACTCAAGGTTACAATATGACAAAAATTATTAAAGCTGCAATAATCTTGTAGGCACCAGAGAGCTTCTTGGATTCAATCATCACCAAGCACTATTGTATATTTGGCCCTCTGAGGGCATGGACCATTAGGAATTTTAAGGCCAAATTGTAGATATGTAATTGTAGATTACCTATGTTTTCAGTTATTTAAGAGGACTGGAATCTGCATTAAATACAGAAATAGACTTATTGATAACTAGACTTGCTGGACTGGCAGATGGCAAAACGGAAGTGTCCATGCTGGATGAATTTAATCATCTGACTCTTGACATAATAGGAAAAGTATGTATTGAAAAATACAGTATGTAATTTACTACCATAAATATCGGACAAGGGACAATATTGATGGCCTGGAGGGTTCTGTATTTTCTGTATGGCACAAGGAAACATTTAGGACCAGTACAGCTGCCTTATGGCCATTTACCTGAGACAAAGAACATCTAACAAAATTTAGCCCACACTTTAAAAATATATGTCTGTCTTCTGTCTTTCTGTCTGCCTGTAAACTATTAAAAAATAATTCTCCTCTAAAACCACTGTATCAGTTTTGTTCCAGATGTTCTGCTAATCAATCTACATGACCACCATTACTAGAAATAGAACAAATGGAATAAAATGCATGAGATTTTCTATTATATATAAATTGCTATAGACAGAGAAATTCTGATGGAGTTAAAATGCTCAGAATGTGAAGATAGGTCTAGGTTCTAGATGGATAATAACTGTATACAGAAAAAAAATGAACAGCTACACAAGGTCTAAAAAAGTGCCAATACCACAGAGACAATTGAGTCCTTATAGAAATTGTTGGCCTAAAAATTATTCTTAGTTTTAGCATATTTGCCTTCTGAAAACTATAATAAATAGATAGAAAACGAAAAAAGCAAAATGATCATCAATACAAGATCTACAAAAAATACACAATTATTCACCAGAGACCAAAATACCAGGATGTAATCAAATATAGGGAACTATACGGCCTTCAACAATGAGAGAAAACCTATACTATATAATAAGCTATAAAAGGCTGTGGCATGACAAAAAATGAAACAATTGAAAGAAAAAAAAACAATGGTCTGATTATAAAAGCAACAAATGAAAAACAAATAAAGCAGACAGCAACCAACTGCAACCATTGAGTTATACAGGCTCCTGACTTGGGTCATGCCCATAAAAAAATGTGGCAGGGTTAAATGAATAACCTGTTTGTGAGTGCTCAACCCTCCCATAACCTTGGAAGTATTTAAACAGCACAACATAAACTATACACAAACTAAATTATTTCGAAAGGTTTAACTGCTCAGATCAGCAGTGAGCAGACAAAAAAACCTGTACAAAAAGACAAAGAAACAACATCAGGTATCTATCCAGAAGTGCGCCTATTTCAATCATAATTCAACAAATGAAAGACCAGGTTTTTTGTCCAGAATAAATTATCTTTCAGTACACATATAAGGGATTAAGTATGAAGACATCAAAAACAATCCAATAAAAGCATGGGCTTGTGCAATTCCAAAATATATGTTTAGACATGATGTGCAATTCCAAAATATATGTTTAGACATGATGAAGGACTAAAAGTGTTCATAACTGTACAGCCATGCATATTTAATTATGTTTTAATTTATTTAAAACAAGATCAATGTTATTACATGTACCGACAAAGACAATATTCAAAGATCTTACCGCCATGTTAAATTAATATCCTTTCAGCATAAGTTTATTCCAAGGATGAATCATTGATCCTATCTTAATTTGCAAGCTCTATAAATAACATCACCTTTAATGTAATAAAAAGGTGCAGCCAAACTTCCAAACCAATTATTAAATTCACTTTATTTCAGATTGCTTTTGGAATGCAAATGAACAATGTTGTAAATAGGACAGAAAAATCTGAATTTACCAAAGCCATACAGCTGTGTTTTAGGGGAATATCAGAAAACATTAGGAACCCATTTTTTAAGGTGAGATAAATAAAAAGTACAAAAATTAAGAGGAAATGTAGGTCAATTTGTTAATTTTATGATAAGATATATAAGATATTTTTAATTAAATTTGACATCATGCAGTGAAATTAATACATACAAATAGTAAAGATGCTGTCTCACTACAAAAGTGAAGGATTGAATGATAATGAATAATAAGGAGGTCAACTCAATGAGATAGAACCCAACAACACTTAAAATAAACATGCTTGTAGATATTATGTTTTTTTAATTTGCATAATAGAGTTAAGTTGTAGGATTTGTTATCTAAAAGTACAAAATTGGCAAACAAAGAGAGGGTAAAATCTGAATATTTTTGACATTTTTTTATTACTTTTTAATAGAGATGCATTTTCATCAAAACAAGATAGAGCCTAGGCGGCCAAGTGGTCTAAGCAGTGGAACTACTGTATCACTAGTCTGTCAACAATGAGGTTGTGAGTTCGAATCCCACACTTGGCAGGTGCACTCGACTCCAATCTTAATTGACTAGGATAGTCATTTTTCCTACCAAAGGTCTGTGATTCTCTCCTCCACCAAGAAAAACTAACCACGAAATAACACAATAGTGCTGAAAGTGGCGTCAAACACTAATCAATCAATCAATCAAAACAAGATATATTGTAACAATTTGCCAATTTTTAACACTTTTGTATAGTATAATATCTTTTGTGATGGAAAAGAGAGGATATGGGTATATTAGTTTATTACTAAAATTTCAATACACAATCATGAAAAAAGCAAAGAAGTGTAGCTGTTATTGCTATTCTTCTATTCAGTATCACAATATGGCCTTCAACATGAAACTAACACATCACTCCAACTTTAAAATTGATTCTGGCTCTGTATTGATCAAAGCTTTTTGCTAGATTTGAATCATCCATAATCTGTGCATTGAAGAATACAGATTCAATGTAATATCAACAAATTATAATCTATATTGGGCATTATGTTGTTAAACAGTGCTATCTTCATTCATAGCTTCAGTCATTTTATTTGTGAATCTTGTTGCAGTACAACTTTTTCAACTGGAATTTTATAAATGATGTGAGGAAAGCTTTGAGATTCCTGCGAGTATTTTCTAAGCAGTGCTTTGAAGAGAGAAAGGCAGCTATAGAAAGGGGAGATTACACACCAGACGACATATTAAATCACATTGTGAAAATGAAATGTAAGCTTATAAAATTGAAAAGATATTTGTTCTCATTGAATTTGCTGCATAATATATTCTTCTTTGTAATATGTCTTCAAATAAGGGTCAGTTGGTGTTTTTGTGCCCACCAACAATAAAAGGGGTACATTATGTTGTCTGGTCTCTGCATCTGTCTATGCATCTGTCTGGTCTCTGCATCTGTCTATGCATCTGTCTGTTCACTTTGTTCTTTTGTTACATACCATATATGGTAAGCTCTGGGAATAACAAATTGTGATCATCTTATTGATCAACCCAGTGGAATCCATATTTATTAAATTTGAATTGACCAAATAGGGATTTTCAGTGAAAACAAGTACAAATGGTTGTGGGTTATCATCCAGGACTCGACAATATTCATGTTTTATGTGTCTATTATAGGTACAAACAACTTATGAAAGACAAGAAAAATGTAAGTTTTCAAGATAACAAAAATTAGCACTTTTGTAAACAAATGAATCCAAAACATGTAGGAGGTCATTATCTCTATTTTTGTTGATAAACAGAATGTAGTATTTAAGATTATTTCTTATTTATTAGTAGAGAATCCAGAGTTAGATGATGAAGTTATAGTGGATGATATAATTGTATTTTTTGTGGCAGGTAAAGTTAAATTTTTACTGGTAAATGAATTCCAAATAAGTTAATGCTAAACTGAATATATCTCTTTGTGAGGTTCATCATTTATTTATTCATTGTTGTGTTCTATTGGTTTTTGATAAAAAAAAAAAGCTTGCCATCATCATATTTCTAAGAATGATGTATTCAGGAAGTTTAATGACAAATCTGTTTTATTTAAATTTTGGTTGAATCTCTAGATGGCTTTCGATTTTATGGGGTTTTGGATGCCATCTTATGGCATGTATCCTATATCTTCATCCTTAAAATGGTTTATTATTAATTTTTCTTTTTATTATTTTAAAGGGCAGGAAACAACAGCTTGCTTATTGAGTTTTACCATGATCTGTTTATGGCAGAATAAAGATGTACTTGAAAGGTAGTTGTTAAATTTACTGTCTAGATAAACAGTCAATATACTGAATACAAATATATTTCATAAAATTTTCATATACTGTAAATTCAGAAATTTTTTTGTGCATTTATTATTGCTATTATTGAAGAATGGACAAAAATACAAGATTAATTATTGCGATTTAAGGAAAATATGCATACAGATGTATGTATCAAATTTCAGAATATGGGTTCTTATTATTGCGATACTGAACCACATTAATAAAAACCTCCCAATAATTTCTGAATTTACAGTAATTCATAAAATTTGGGGATGTTTTAATTATTTAAAAAATCACAATATGTTTTGCAAAAATGAAAACTCTACATTTTAAGTTTTGATAGCAATATTTGTATGCAGCATTCCCTAAAATTGAAATAATTTATCACACATTTTTATACATTGTTCAGCAATCCCAAAAACAAACGAATGCAAAATTTGTAATTTACTCTATATTTGATGTTATCCTTGCTGAAACAGATGTTTTGAATTGTCTATAACAACTTTCATATATATATAAAGGCAAAATGTCTTTTGTTCTTGGAACTAAAAAAGAACATTAAAAGTTTTTGTAAAAACTGAAAATAATATTTCTAACCTTGCACTAATTGAAAGGGATTTTACAAAATTAAAACAATTAAGATAATGTGGTATGAGTGCCAGTTAGACAACTATCCACCAGAGTCCAATTGATGTGGGTTTAAGCAACTATAGGTTATGATACAGCCTTCAACAATGAGCAAAACCCATACTACTGTATAGTCAGCTGTAAAAGGCCCTGATATGACAAAATGTGAAACAATTCAAACAAAAAAACCAATGACCTGTACCTGACTTAAACAAAAACAAATATGACACAGCAATCAATGACAATAACTGAGTTACTGGCTCCTGATTTAGGACAGGCACATATAGAATGTGGCAGACTTAAACATGTTTGTGAGAGCTCAGCCTTTCTCTGCAGAGAGTTGTGATATTTGGTATGTAGTTAAAATGAGGTGTAAATTTGATCCCTTTTTATCTTCTACTAATATTTTACTTTAAAAATTATTGCTTTTCAGACTACGGACAGAGGTATTTGATATTGTCGGTATGAAATCTTATCTCAGCATTGAAGATGTCAATAAAATGAAGTATTTGGAAATGGTAATAAAGGAAAGTCTGCGGCTTTATCCTCCTGGACCAAATACATTCAGAGAGCCAAAACATGACATAGAAATCCTAGGATACAAAATACCTGCTGGAACACCAGTAGCTGTAAGTTTTAATGTTTTATCTGTTTTTTTCCTATTTTATATACGATTAACTGTGTATTTTGCCTTTTGTCCAGTTTGTGATGAATTGTGTTGATGGCAGCCCATACATATACAAATCTAATCCTAGCTTTTGAAGGTCAAACAAATCTTCAAAGGCAGAAGGTAGAAAGGCTTAATGTCATATTTTGCATATGGATGCTGCTTGCATATATTTGTTGTGCTATACATTGTACTTCATTTTCCTGATTCTATATCTTTATGAAATATTCATCAAGTTTTTATGAATATATAATGTTCTCAGAAACATTAATACCTAGACCAAAGTTTTTAGTCTTTAGATTTTTCACTATATCAGTCTTACACAAAACATTGGACACTTAAAATTCTAGATTACAAATGACTGCAGTACTAACATATCTATTTGCTAGGAAAAAGTATTTAAAAAATTAAGGTATGAAAAGGGAAATATTAAGATAATAATTTAAAAAGATTTTTTTTAATACATTAACTTTCATTTTTATAGATGAGTACTTATGTTAGTTCAAGGCTGGAAGAATTCTTTCCTGATCCATTGAAGTTTTTCCCTGAAAGATTCAGTCCAAATGCTGAAAACAAGTAAGTAAATGGAATAATGGAAGTTTAAATTTCCATACCTTTAATACAATGGAAAAAAACCCTTCTTTTTGAAATTTACTTATTATATTGTCCTGAGTTTATATACATCCTTGATATACCAAATAACAAATAAAATAAGCCAATCATATGTATGTGGTATTCTGACACTTTTTTGTTTAAGATTACAAAGATTTATTTATGATATTACAGTAATACATTTATACCTGTACGACTGTTCATGTGTGTTTTCAGAATTACATCATACACCTACTATCCATTTACACTTGGCCCAAGAACTTGTATTGGAAAATCATTTGCTGAAGTAAGTATTATGTCCGAATTTGGCTATACTTTAGGTCCTTTTTGGTTTGATCCGCTGTTCAACATTTGTATTCAATTTTGGATATTCCAAATATTTTGGCATTGAGTATCACTGAAGAGACATTATTTGTTGAAATGTGCATCTGATGCATCAAAATTGGTAATGTTTATGTTATTGTCCCCCGCGCAACGCGTTGCAGGTGACATAGAAATACATAAATTTATACATGTATCATAGGTTTATATTAGCAATGTCTGCAATGAGTTCGAAAATCAGTGCCGATCAATTATTTTAAAAAGAGTTATGCCCCTTGGAAACATCAAATATATGGAAAATTGCATCGTTAGCTCTCTCATTTGTACAATTCATGCCAGATTTTTATGAAACTTATATCATAGGTTTATACATGTATTAGCAAAGTCTTGGAAGAGTTCGAAAATCAGTGCCTATCAATTATTTTTTTAAATAGTTATTACTTGGTATAGTACTTAATTGGGTGCTGTTAGTTGTTTGTTTGGTCCACAGCAAGGTCAAACCAAGAAATTTAAAATAAGAAAAATAAACATAGTTTGACCTCATCCACCTAACTCCTCCTAAAGATTTGAAGGTAGAACTTTTATACATGTATTATGCAGATTGTTTGTACATAAACTAAGGATGTGCATATTTTTAGGATTTTGATTTTCTTTAAATTGACCACAAATGACAGGATGTTGAAATTGTCATTATTTGTAAAATTTTGCATGTAGGATACATGGTTTGTTCGACTATCTCCTCCTTCAGTTTTCAAACTAGAACTTAAATATTATGAGATGTTTGTACATAAATGAAAATGAAATTAACACCTCTAAAACCTTGGTGTGACTGAAGTGCTTTGCAAGTAGTGTGGCTGTGCAAATTACAGACATGTATTATGTATATAATTTACTTTATCAATTACAGATTGAGGCAAAAATAATACTTGCCAAAATAATACAGAGATTCAATTTTGAGATGGACCCAGACCAGTCGTTTGATATAGAAGAGAGTACAACATTAAAACCTGAAGGTGGAGCTGTTTGTACATTGACTTTATGTGACAGTTTTGAAGGCTAAATTTTCGTGTCATTGAAGTACAAAAATATGCTGGTAACAGTCATTGTGGAATATTTCATGTGTTCTTCCATTGTGAAATCAGGTTTGAAAAATATCCAACATAATTCAGTTTATCAGGGTAACTTCAGAAGGGCAATTCTAATTATGGAATATCCTTGGCATCAGCATTTACTTTTAGGAAGAATTGTTCTTCTGTCCAAAAACAAACAAATGAAAAATTATTGACATAGACATCAAAATAAACAACAAATTAAATAGGTCATATACAAGTTATAATTTTATACAAATTATATTTTGTACAGACTTTTTGTACAAGTTATAAGTATTTAGATACACACCTTCTTTCACCAGGTGATGCAGATTTATCTTCAATAATTATCCAGCTTGATGTTCTATTCACAAAATTATAAACTTCAACTTAACACTATGCACCTTCCTTCTTGGCATAAATCTGCAAATGAAGACACCACATTGGGTTGGATTCTATATATTTAGTTCTATTATTATACCCCCGCTTTAAAAAAGTGGGGGTATACTGTTTTACCTCTGTCTGTCCGTCCTTCCATCAGTCCGTCCGTCCGTCCCATGAATATTTTTCTTCGCATTTTTCACAGGAACTACATCATAAGGATTTCTGAAATTTGGTTTCAGGGTTTATATCAGTCAGCTATACGGTGTGATGCTTTTTCAGATTCACTCAACAACTTCCTGTTTACCAAACACTTACATCATTTTACACATGACATCCAAGTAGTTGAAAATTTTCGTCACATTTATCTGTGGAACTACATTACAAGGATTTCTGAAATTTGGTTTCAGGGTTTATATGAGTCAGCTATACCGTGTGATGCGTTTTCAGATTCATCACTCAACAACTTCCTGTTTACCGAAATATTTGGGCGGGGATATTATCAGTGAGCAGTAGCTCGCAGTTTCACTTGTTATACCAGATTCTCAGTCCCCAATATATCTTTGAGTGTCCTCACATTAACTTAGTATAAATGTTTTGTATAAGGCTGTACTTTGCATGTAACTATGTATATTTGACAGTAACAAGCTGAATCAAAGACAGTGGTCTTGTTTTGTCCAATTATGATAAGTCAGTTTTGCAAAATTCTGGTTACTAGATCAACAATTCTGTACAAATAATAATTTGAAAAAAATACAATACATGGATGTTCACAACATATAAATATTTTTTTCAAACTTTAACACTTACTTTAAAATTAATGTAGTTAAATAATATTAGAACTTTTACACCACTATCAGATGACACCTGGTGAAAATGTATTCCAGATGCAGCAAGCTGTTTTGAAATAATGAAAAAGACTTGTTAGTTTTGATTGAATAGCTAATTAAAATGGCTTACTAAATTGTTATTGAGGTATTAGTTATGTTGAAATTGATGAACCTAGTAACTAAATCACATTGTGTTTTTTATTGGTTGTTAGTAAAATTATACTACCGCAGGCGCAGGTATATATGAGGGGCCTGATGGGGGGGTCTCATCACGATTCACGAGTTGATTTTTTTGTCAATCACGATTCACAGAAAATAAATTTCCATGATCACGGATCACGAAAATATAAAAAAAAATAAATCTAGAAAAACGGATCACAATAGCGAAAATGCGCCGATCACGAAGAACGAAAATAACCCATCAGGCCCCTCATATATGTCACTCAGTTATATATGCATCATTTGAATGAAGTGCTTTAACAGTTTTTTTAACTCAAAGATAATCATTGGTGTTATTTTATTTACTTTTGACTATATATCATATTATAATATAGTTTATTATTATATTTTTATATTATTACTGTATCTTATACAAGATTTATCTGTTAACCTCATGTTGTTGTATGTGATATGTACATTACATTATGTGCCATTAAAGTTGATATGTGCTGTGTTAAATAATGACTGGAAAATCAGTGCTAATTTTGTTTGATTCTTAATTTATTTTTATATTAATTAAGTTGTCTGCAGATTTGTTAATATTTTCTCTTTAAAATTGTTCTAACAGTAGGATTTGTGGTTTTGAAATTTATTACAGTATATAATAGAAAAATATTTTATGTTGATCTTACTCTTTTGCAATTAATGTTATTAAATTGAGAAGTTTCCATTACATTTCGTTGTTTCTGATTTAAAAAAAAAAGAAATTCTGAACTCTCTTGATTGTGCGTTCAAAGTGATGGCATGATTACTACATCTGTGGAACATTCAATTACCACAGTACACATACAACTGAAGGGTAAGCAGGATGTTCTTGCTATGTGTTACAAGTTTGCTGTATTGAAATTTACGCAGAAGTCCATCATTTACCATTTTTGTGTATTATTGTAATAGTCCTCGGCACTTACTTCTTTTACTAGAGTTGTATTATGCTATTTTATAAAGAGGTGACTCTTATTAATCCATTGTTTTATATTAATCAGGTTGATATTTAGAAATGTTTTATTCTTTTATATGTTAACCCAGAGTGATTTATATATACATTGTAATGTCATTTTAAACATGTAAAAAGTATATCAATGCAACTTATATTTTATGTGTATCAATGCAACTTATATTTTATGTGTATCAATGCAACTTATGTTTTATCTGTATTAATGCAACTTATATCTTATCTGTATCAATGGAATTAATATTTGATAATTTTTTAACACCTTTTGTCAGTTTTCAGGATTATTCTTATACTTATATTATATATCTGTTATTTTGATAGATAGATATTTTTACATTGCATGCAAACATTTTGTAACAGACTGTTAGACACACAATATTTGTTGTCTTCGTAAGCATTTAAAGGTATATCAGAGGGTGCAATTCAAAATGTTTGTGCTCAATGCATCATTTTTTGGTGACTTTTAATAAAGAAAGTATGTTTTACAAATATTTGGCCAACCCTGCCAATGGAATTGATTGAATCAGATCTTAATTTGTGATGAGACCTATAGAAACTGAGATGGGTACTGTGAATTTATCGTAATTAATTGCAGGAGAAAAAATATATAATTGATAGGCAAACCAAAAATACTAACTATATATCTATACCATGAACTAAAATGAAACAGAAACCTTGCCAGAAATCATGAAAAATTGTATCACCATACATGAACAAATCTACAGTTTTCATTGGTATAACTAACATAAATAAATATATCTACAGTGTTTCATCCATAGTTCTAACATAAACAAATAAATAAACAGAAGTGCAATGGTAACTTTAATAAAACAAATAAATCTTCCATTGTTCATTGAATAATCTAACATAAACAAATAAGTCTACAGAAATTCATAATCTTTGGCTTTCAACAATTTGTATTGATCTTCCTGATGAAAGTAAATCCAGAAAAGTGCAAATTTATAAAGTTTCATTGTTATTAAATAAAAGTTATATTTCCAGTGGTTCTGTTGGATCACTTTAATAAAGAGCATTTGTGAGAAGCAGATATTCATGTAATACTTTTAAGTATTAGGTTTATATAATTGTCTCTACTTACAACATACTTCAAACCAACCTACAGCGATTTACAATTTTATTGCTTGCTTATTCACCACTTCTCTTCATTGCAGGATAGATTGCCATGAGGGAACTATAATTTAATAGTTGAGTTAAGGCTTTTAGAAATTACTCCCCAGAAAGGCAACACTGTTGACTTAAATTACAAAAAAACATGAAATCCAAGTGTCAATGGAATTTACACATTTCTGCAATAAACATTTCTATAAATTAACATTATTAAGAAAATCAAAAGCAACCTTTAATTCCTTACTATATCATAAATATAATTTGTTTGTTTCTAACAACATCATTCAAATATTCTATAGAAGTAGAGATAGCTAATAAAAAGAAAATTAATTCTTGGAATCTTTTATTAATTTCTTATAAAAAAAATCACAAAATCAGTAATTATTTAAGAATATGCTATGAATTTCATTGTTTCATTAAGTACTGTAATTTGTTAACTTTTAATGTTGTTTTATTTTAAGACTTTTAATTTTTAATTCTGATAAAAAATGCCATGATATTCTCAGGAAGATTATCAGTTCTACTTAAAATAATCCGTTTTCATCAAGAAGATTGGGGAATATTGTTAAGGTTAGTTTGTTCATGTATATTAAAGGATATGTTGCCATTAGAATGCACATAGTTGCTAATTTTGATCCAGGACAAAGTTTACAAAATGACTACGCAATTATTAGTAGATATATATTAGATTATGAGTCTCTTTAAAAGTCAACTTTACACTTGAGTTAAAAACATAAAGTGAGTTGGGGAATCTGCAGCAAGTTCTATTGCTTCAGTTGCCATTACTTTTTTCTTAATTTGTTGAAAGTTTGAAATCCAGGTTTCTTTTATATGTGAAGTTTTTGTACATTTATATTTTAGATATTATAGTTATACATGTAATATTACAGCAAAAAGTTGTTTTATGATGTTAAAATTTAAGAGTTATATATTTTTCTTAGTGTATACAAATGCAATTGAACTAATGAAACAGGAAGTTAAACTTTTTAAGAACCCTGTAATCTTCAATTTTCACTTTTACTGTTGAGTAATTTTGCAGCTATTTTTTACTTTTAAAACAAAATTAGAATAGTTGTTGCCTCAGATGGACAAATTCAAATGTTGGAAACTTGCAATAAAAAGCCATCAACAATTGTGAAACCTATATTAATACATAATATATTATAAACATGTAACATTTAAAAAATGATGATTATTTTTATAGTTACATATATCCGTTTCTACTCATTAAAAAAATATTCTTATAATGACTTAGTTTTCTTTTTTTAAATCATTGTCCACTTACAAAAATGTTGTACACATTATACATGAATTTGTTTAGCAGTCAGTTCGTGTTGAAGCAATAAAAGTCCACTTCACATACAATCCAATCTGCATTCATTTTCTCTCACTGAATTTATCTATCAATATCAGATGTCTAGGTCAAAACATAATTTTGAGGTAAGAAGTTTGCAGTATGCTTTTTTCAATTTCTAGGTCAGAGAGCTTAAATCTTGCTACTTATCTTTATCAATGATTGGTCATTGATAGACAGAAACACTACATTAATTCAAGGTCAGAGGTCAAAACTCAATATCACATCTCAACTGGGAGATTTTGGATTGTAAACTCACCACATATTGTGGGAGCCTCCTAATATTCTTTCAAACAAAAATATGTGTCCAAAGTACACCATATCCTACTTTAACTCTAGCAATTCCATGTTCAGTAAAAAGAAAATCTGGGTGGTCAAAACCCAAATTAAGCATATATGCTAAAAAGATTCAAGTTGATTTGACCACAACTTAATGGTAAACTACCTTAACCAAAACATAAACCAGATAAGGAACGAACACACACACACACATACAAGAAAACATTATTTACCTACTATTAACAGTCTAAAATCTATCATGAAGACTAGTTTCCTGCGGAAGTAAAATCTTTCCCTTGAATATGAACCTCCATCTTTAACCTTGAGTTTTTTTTATTACAAAAAGCAGTAGTTCATCCAGGAAGAAATGACATATTGATGTCAATACATTATTTTTTTTACAATATGGATATTCAAAGCTAGCTAACAATGAAATAACACAGTCAAACAAAAAATTTATTCTACAAAAAACTTTCCTTCCATAAATTACTTTGTTTGAGATTACCGGTAAACTTTTGAAAAGTTGAGACCAGAGAAATATATCTCTCTGTTTAGACTTGTGAAAAAATTTGTGATTAGTGAAAATGAATGCTCTGAAGTTCAAGTCTAAAAAGTAAGTATTGATATCAGAGAATATTAGTAATAAGACAACAATAACTTAAATAGGAAAACTAATACTCTCAAGTTAATAACCTTAATTGCCAGTCAAGAGCCAGTCTGCAATTTAGTGGTCGTTGATGGTTGTCTGCTATATTTGTTTTTCGTTTGTTTTTGGCATCAATCCAGCCTTTAGGTTTCTCTTGATATCTTCACATTTTGTCAGCTGGAGTCCTCTCATTTATTCTTAATCTCAACAGAGACAGCTGGAGTCTTCTCATTTATTCTTAATCTCAACAGAGACAGCTGGAGTCTTCTCATTTATTCTAAATCTCAACAGAGACAGCTGGAGTCTTCTCATTTATTCTTAATCTCAAGGATGTATAGGACCATTGTAATTAAGTGATTCCTTCACAAATGTCTGGACATGGACGTATATTAGTTATAAATCCTTGGACTGGTCTATTTTATTTTGTCGGCTGTTAAAAGTGAGGGTGATGTGATCGTCCATATCATTTTGTTTACTAGTAGTCGATAAATTGAAATTGCTTCAAGTTTGGAACATGTTACCTCTAATCTTTCGCCTCAAACTGTTACAGGATGTTGCAGTGCTGGTGTTTCGGAACCCAGGTTTTGCTGTTATTTTTCGAAACATGACTTCTCTGTGGGGTTTATACTTGGGACACTTTACGAGAAATCGAAGTGCTGTTTCAATTCCTCCAAAATTCAAACAACTCTATTTAGGGCTACTCAAGCGTATATCTATAATAGTTTTGGTCCAAAGATCCAATCCTCAGTTGAGTCATTATTTGTTATACGTTTTAGTAGAGTGATAAAACATATGTTGTGCCTTTGCCGATACTGGCTTCATCCCTTTTCCCTGATCATTCTTCTTTGACACTTTCAAAGTGTGTTGTACTTTTGATGGTCCTTTTTTTCTCGTCCTGAAGATTAATGATGTTATTCTCCTGTAGTTGCTCTACCTTCTCCGACTGTTCTTTTTGCTAGGATGTTTGCCTGGTCTTTTCCCTGGATGTCTGCGTGTCCTGGTGGTCAAAGTTTTGATATATTTAGGCCTTTTAAACTTAATTCTTTAATATGTTACTATTTCGTATTTTCCTACATATTTAAAGAGCTCCGCGAAGTACTAGTAGTCGTCAGCTACTGGGGTTTCCCTTTCTCAAGTGTGTATATAGCTGCCTCCATTTCTTCTGTGTTTGTCTCAGAATCCATTTTAGGCTTGGTTCTGCTAAAGTTGTATTCTAATTCACATATCCTGGTATACTCTTCCATTGTTTATTGTCAAAATTTGTCATCTAAGACGTTTCAGTTTAGGTTGTTACCTTCAAAGACCTTTTTAGTATACTACACTTTTCTGTATCGGAAAACGCTTGGTTCATCGTTTTTCAGTTTCTTTCGAAATTTGAGTTTTAAAGCTCTCCTTATTTTCCGCCTGTTTTTCTATTCAGAGTCCTTCCGTTAATAAAAGATGTAAAGTTAATATAAACACTCGTTACCAATTAAAATTCTAATTTTACGTAAATGCAAACAAATAAATCAATGTAATAGTAATCAATTTGAAAGCACTCTGCCAAATTAATAATATATGGAATAAAGGTCAACCAAATCATATAATAATGTTCGTAAAAACTCGTCAAAGATACCAGACTTATAATAAACTTTTGAAGTAACGACTTCAACGTTACCGCCGATAGGAACCCTTAGTTCAATAGCTTCCTTGTAAGAAACACCCTCTATCAAGAAAATCTTGATAGGAAAAACAACCTAGGTCTAGAATATCGTTTCAACATGGATATATACAATCGATATGCAGGCACTGTTGGAAAGTTGATTCAAAGAAATTGAACGTTTACAGTAGGAAAGCTAAAATTAACTCTTTTGTCGTAAACTTTAGTTCTCAACAGATCCTCATTATCAACAAATTTCTAGATGTAAGTCAAGACATGGAAGTATTATATTGTCAATATAATACTTCAATGGTCAAGATATAAAGCAGACTTAACTTTATATTAAGTTTATCCAAAGTTTATTTCAACTTGAAGTTCGATGGGAAAGATGCGTTCAATATAGTCACCAAACTTGGAATTACAAGTATTCAGTGAACCTTTTATATAGAGGAACTTAAAATAATATGATGATGCATGCTTGCTTCTTTTCCTTCTTCGTGAGAAATGCCGAATGCATGTCTTTTAAATAACAAGTCCTGTAATGGTAACAAATATATTTCAATAAAAATCTAGTCTTTTGATGATGTTTATTTCTAGGAATTTTATGTTTGATCAGATTAGTCTTTCTACAAAGTGTGATATCCTTCCCTAGAACAAGATATCTACATAGGCCATCCTTTTATATGAAACAAAGTTGGAGTATTTTATCAATCTGTTTAAGTTTAGAATGAGGTATACTAGTGTAAAGAATAGAGAGGTCAAATGATTTACCGCAAATTATTGAGCAGTGAACATCAAGTTGTCAGACATCGTATAGACTAAAGCAAACTGTAGCAGTATTCTCTGTCCTTTAATTTTTTAATTATATATTTTTTTAAATGTATGTCCCATGCAATCAGTCCCAAAAGTTCATAGACAGTGCTCTCTGTATACAGATATATTTTTTTTATATTATCTCCCTCAAATACTCTCATCTCTTTCAATCGGCAGGATGCGGTAAAAACTGATTGGATTTATTTTCCTAGTTGTAATCTCTTTTTATCTCAATTTGTTTTATTGCATTTCTAAAAAACGAGACTTTCTTCGTTATTCTTTCTATCTGTTTGTCTTTTTTCTGATGTTCTTCTTATTATATTCATTTCTGTGTTTATAGTGTTTCCCTCATCTTGTTCATCCATGCTATTTGACCAGACTGCAAATGATGCCAGGCTAAAATGCGGTTACGACTCTTTTGTTTTGTTTTGCTTGCGTTTAGCATTGTATTTGGATGAAGACTTTTTGTCTGATAATTATGCGCGTTGCCAGGTTGGAATTGGCATAATTTATCGCACCGTAGGATGAAGGCTGGTTAAATTGTTTCTAATGCTAGATCGAGTTTAGTATTGGTTTCATGGATGGCATTTGTTGGTGTGGTGATAAAAATGTTGACGGGTACTTTGAATTGGTTGCATAAAGAGGTTTATCGTTTGATTAAATACTTTGAGTCATACTATGTAGATTTTGGTGGTTGATCTGTTGTGCAAAATAATGTTTGTATAGTTAAAACTGCGTAATCTGCTGATTTCGACCTTTATAAGCCAAAATAGTTCCACAAATGCCTTTTGTTGATGGAAATGCTATATTTAGGCATCCAGTGTCCATCGTTATTTGCCTAAAGAACATACACTGCAGGAGTTACATAGTCATTTGGGTAGTATTTGCAACATGTATTCACTTACGCTGGGTTAAGCTGATATTTTAGCGTTTTTATATTGTTCATATTTTGTGTGCGACAGTTGTAATGAACATTGTTTGAAATATTACAAGCATTTCCGTGCGTCATTTGAACTGTTGATGTCATTTGGCTTCTTTGTTCATGCTGAGAACGCCATAACATACCGTGTACGGTTGGATCTCTGTCTCATTTTCCACAATATAATATATATATATGTTTTTATGCTTCGTCTTCTGTTTTTGTGTATTGCTGTTTAAAGCTGAATTTGACTAGTGTTACACTTTACTGTATTCTATTACTGGTCGAATATAGCTCCGAGATACTAGCATTGACTAGCATTTCATTTGATTGTGTATGTGTTTTTGATCTAAATATTGATGCAGTGCATTAAAATTGTGTTCTTCTGTCATAATACCGAATGTTTGCTATATGTCCTTCACAAACGTATGCTCGCCAAATTTATGGTCATTTATATATTATGGATTCTTGCGTCGCTGGCTGAGATTTTGATTGCTCAAATTCGTTTATATGGAACAAGATTTTTTTTTTCATTTTGAAAACTAATGACACTGATTTTTGTACTGTATGTAACTGGAATAAACGATATGTATGTAT